TTATTAAAAAGCTATAATGATTAATAGCAATACTACTGTACATCATAGAAAGAAGTGGATGTGCAATATGGTTATACATGGTTGGGCCCGTAATATTGTTTCGACAAGGATATTTGACCTGATTTCACAAGTATTTGTCACATGGAACATGCTTCCGAACCAATGTCTGATAGAACAAAGATATATCGCCTGCAACAGTATTAAGCGCACTGACAAATTGTTCATGTTATGGCACACAATTTGATCTTTGTACTGTACTAGTACTACTACTAGTACTACTACTACTAAGTACTAGACTGTAATTGCCAAATTTGCAAAGAAAGTAGAGTTACACCACCACACGACATAGACTGTATGTTCATTCATTAACACAAGAACAATCTACTACTACGTAAGACTCTACATGATTAGAAACAGGTCAAGATAAGGAATAAGTAAATAAATGCCAGGAACGTAACTAAAATTCCCAGTTCAATGTCTACACTACACAGTACACCCAATCAAATTCAATGCAATGTCTATCATACTCATACTCATAGATAAATAATTTAATTCTTCCTTCGGTCTAAATTGACACATCATTAGTATCGTATTACGGCAACCCCGGAATGCTTACCTGCGAAGACACTGTGCCGAAATACAATGCAGCCTTGAAAAAGCACGGATTCTCAGTGAAAAATAAAAACGTTTGTGTTTTCCTGGTCTGACATCAGCGCCTGCGTAAAATCCCTAACGTCACCAGTCTTGCCATCTAGCGGCAGCTTTATAAAACTTTTAACTATATTACCGATAGAAATAAATATAGATAGACGGTGTATCACTGATCTCTATAATATAATCTCTCTCTCTCTCTCTCTCTCTCTTCTCTCTCTCTCTCTTCTCTCTCTCTTCTCTCTCTCTCTCTCTCTCTCTCTCTCAATATATATATATATATATATATATATATATATATATATATATTTATCTATCTATCTATCTATCTATCTATCTATCTATCTATCTATATATATATATATATATTATATTATAGAGATCAGTGCTGTGTATGTGTCTCTTGTATTTCTATGGTAAGCCAGCCCACCCGCCAGTATTCACATGAATAAAAGTAATAATATCAGGAGTAGATAATAGAAGATCTTCTATTATCTACTCCTGATAATATTATCTATGTGCTCTTTTGGCGTATTAATATTTAATTCCAAATTGACTTGTATACACATGTTCTCAGCATCTTATAAATAATTAAATTCCCGTCTTTTTTCTTAAATCTTCTCCTCTGCCGTGTTTACGCGATTACATTTATGTACCCGGATTAAGCGTGGGATTATATTGACGCATACACTTTTAACATTTGACTTGATTTTAATTATATTTTTTATTCCTGTGAAAAGCCGACTGAAATGTTCTCACTCATATGTGCCAGCATGCGCGTAAATGTATCGTATCAAGAGCTAATAATACATGTATAATTAGCTCTCGATCGTATTTAACTACTATATACGCATGATCGAACCTATTGATATTCAATATACATTGGCTCCAACCATAGCAATAGGCATGCATGTACATGTATGCACGCACGCACCCAACCGCGGACGCCCGCCCGCGCGCCCGCCCGCACGCACGCACGGACGCATGCACGGACGCACACACATGCACGCAGAGCGCGCGTGCGCACACACACGTGTATGTGGTCGGAAACCTTCACACGGGGAATTAACATTCGGTAAGGCTTATTTATCGATTCGTACATCTGTCGATGACACATACAGAACTCTCACGGAGCGATTTGCTGATTCTCAGCAAATTCTGATTCTCAGCTGATTCTCAGCCGATTTTCAGTTCTTACGGAAATACAATATTCTTCGAGTTAGATCCTCTAGTATAGATACGTTATGTGTATTATTGTATGGCTATCCAATTTCATATGTAATACCAAGTAAGAAACGAATCGAGAGGGTCGATCGCCACAGCCACGACCGTGCGTCATTTTATTGTACAGTATAATATGCAGGTCGGCCTGTAGATATATTAACCACGCCTAATGCTCGGGAATTCAGTTCCAGAAGTTAGCACTCGGTGAGATGCATTTCTATCCTTACTGCAGCCACAACCAAAATATGTACACCATGATGCATACCATGACAGGAAAGGCAATTAACCCGCACACGTATAAATGGAAATTTAATTTTAGAAATAATTTTCCGAGCTTGCCTGCTCCTGCTTATGCTCATTTGATCGAATCGAGTGACGATCGAGTCATTAAAAATTTAATTCCTTGGATTAATTCCCTGTTCATCATCCTTGTGTTCAAATGGAGATCCGGCCATTCTTTATTCCTGTCTACATATCTATTTTAATGAAATACATTGATATAACCATCAATTATAAAATATAATGGGGCCAATTTCATAAAATATGCAAGTAACTGAAAATGTCAGTTTTTCAGATGTTACCATAAAAGGGGTTAATGTAGCCATGTTCTACCCGTTTATCATGCTGAAACAATTTTTTTATCAATAGCACATCTTGGCCCATGAATACAGTCAGATCTGACACAGTGATAACATGTATTGGTTTAGTATGCAAGAAAATATACTATTATTTTGGTCGAAATCGCCAAAAATGCCAAATTTGGGGTATAATTTTGCCGCCCCTTAACCCCTAGCAGCAATAAAACTGCCTCAAATACATTGCTACATATCTATTTCAATGAAATACATTGATATAACCATCAATTATAAAATATAATGGGCTTATTTCATAAAATAAGCAAGTAACTGAAAATGTCATTTTTCAGATGTTACCGTAAACAAGAGGTTAATTTCGCATGTTGTACAAGGTTGCTGCAACTACAACATGTCTTTTCATAAACTAGGGACCAGACGGTTAAAATGAGACCAGTCCCAGCTGTTATACCTCCGGTAGGGGTATTTCCTTAAATAAGCCCTTTTTCAGCTTTGGTCACTGCACTATAGTAAGTCATCCTTGTCCCTTGTAGCAGAGCATGTAGAGCGGTTATAAGCGTAAGTATTAAGAGATCAGTGGGCGCATCTCAAACCTATGAAGGATTCCATTCGCGTCTGCAGAGACATTATCTTATAAAGACATAATGAGGACATTATTACATAAAACTACCTATATCGAATTCTTTAATATAATAATTCAAAAAATTGAATGCTAATAATCATCATGTAATTCACAGATATAAGTACGAACAACCCAATCAGGCGACTGACATAAAAGTTGCCCGCATCGCTGATTGGTCAGTCACTAGACGGCACCTGTCACAAGATGCGATGAGACGTAGCAACCATGCAAATAAATGTAAGCAGAAATATGCATAAATAGTTATGACTATCGTGAGCCTATAATCTCGTCACATTTGCAGAAGAACTTACTTCACAAGTTCTAAAAATCAGTTTAGTCATGCGATTTATGTTCCAACGTTAGTATCAGTCTCATACGTACACGGCCCTCTACGCCCTGGGCTATCATTGTGGACGTAAACTTAGTCCGGCCCTACACGCCCGCCTCCGAATTCTGCTAGTATATCGTATCGGTGATCCGCCCGCGTAAAAATTACGTCGTCTGAAGAAGAAGCTCGTAACGCAACTGCTTCGTCAAGACTTCTGCAAGACTCTTGCCGGGCCGAATTTTCCCCGAAAGGAGTGTCCGAGCCTAAACCCTCAAAAATGGTAAGTGAGCATGTGTATTATTCGTGTACAGCCTAGCAAACGAGTTAGTCGATATTTGCTAAATGTGGTCGCGAGAAGCGCGGTACTGCGTCGGTTATCCGCTCATTGTGTCGCACAGGCACTTGGGCCGTTTCAATAATAAAATGATGGTTAATAAATACAACTTGTCAGTACTACTACTAAAGACTACCAGTACCAGTAATAGTCTTAATGTTTGATTTGACCTAATAACTTGCACTTCAATCCGTGATACCGCCAATACACCGGCTGCAACACATCGCGCGCACGCCATTGTGCACAAGTACACAGTAACTCTATAGTGAGTTCTAGAGTAGGAAATATTTTTTCGTCGGTTGCAGTTTGAAAAAAACACCGTTGAGGTATAAAATACATCCTGGCAAATATGGGCCCGGACAGTAAACGCCGGCTGTGGAAGGCGTTTTGCGTGACGCCGTTTTATACCCCGCATTTTCGCTCTTAATCCTACTGTGTC